CAAAGAAATTAGCAGTTTTAGGTTCTGGGCTCCAAAGCAACCAAACAACTGGAACAACGAAGACTGTGTGCACACTCTTGGCGTGAGGCATGGATATACTTGGAATGACGTGCCATGCAATAACTGCTTCAACTTTACTTGTTCTACAGGTAAAAAAAATCTCTTGTTTTACGCGGTTAATTTACATTGCAATTTTCTAATAAGAAACAGTAGAGAAAACAGAATCCCCAGAATTTGGGCAGGATAATCTTGCGCACACAAACTGGTTGCATGGTTAAGTTTCAAAATAACTCGTTACAAACCAATACTGTAAATATTATTCATTTGATGTTTTTTCATTGGTTTTTGAAATTTAATTTTGCAGACCTGGATGAGTGCACTACCAACACTCATAACTGTGACGTGAATGCAGATTGTGTGAATACCGTGGGCTCATATTCCTGTAAGTGTAGAGCTGGATATACCGGAGACGGACAAACTTGCAATGGTAAGAAACAAACAAACAAACAAACAAGCAACACCCCTCCCCCCTCTTCCCTAAGAGAAAACTGACATACACACAATTGATGTTGATGCTGAATGTAATGACAATTTCACTTTTTTTTTTAACAACTATGAATTTTTTTCCTGCATTGATCGGCTTAGTAAAAACTGTAACCAACCGCTCCTGTGCAATGAGAATACTGATAGAGAAAAGTTCAACACTGTAATAACTTGATTTTCTTACTAATTTTGAAGCTGAAGCTAGGGGCTTAGAACCTTGGTAATTTAAATTATCCAAAATCAGAGAATGCGTGGAAGAGTGTGGAAAGTAAAATAAACCATTTTTTCACGAAAAGATACTGCTGTATGCCCCCGGGGTGTACTCTCAGGAAAATTGGTCGGGGATGTGTGGCCTGCTCCCTAAACCCTTACCACATTTAAGACCAAGTTCTGCAATTTCCCTACCCCATTTATGATCTGACCAAAAATTTTGATTCGCTATTTTTAAGACCTGACCCTTAAATCAATACCATGTTTCAGACCTGCGCTATAAATGAATTACCTGGGCTCAGAACAATGTTAAAGGCAATATTAGGTAGGGTATCTTTTTCTAAAAAAACATACCCAACGCAAGACTAGAGTGTAAAAACGATACCCGATTTGAGACCAAAATGGCTAAAAACGATACCCTATTTCTGAGCCAAGCGGCTAAAAAACCATACCCTTTGAGGCCGCACATACCTATACAGCCCACATGAGGGAGTAACTCCCCAGATGTGTGTCTCTTTCGTCAAATGGCCAGACTAACGATAACTCAACGTTTATCCATATTTACTCCTTTAATCTTGTTTCAGACATAGACGAGTGCTCTTCAAACTCTCATAGCTGTGATGTGAATGCTGTTTGTAACAATACTCGTGGATCTTACACTTGCGCGTGTAAACTTGGATATTCAGGAGATGGCAAAAATTGCACTGGCAAGTTATTTTCACTTAACAAGAACTACAAAAGCTACTGGTTGAAAATAGAAACAACAAGAAAAAAAAAACACTTCGAAATGACGTCATATGAAAATCAGGCTATTCGCCTAACAAATTTATAGCGTGTAAAATATAATTATGATTTTGAGTGGGTTTTTGGATGTAAAATAAAAGAAGAGTGGCTCAATTCACGGAATAATTCCTTTGGAAAATAGGTTCTTTTGATACATGCAAACATGCTCTTCTGACCAGGAGCAGCAATATGGCTGCCACGACAACACTCTACAACAAGAACTATTTCCCTTGAGAGGTTTTCTTGATAAACATAGTGAGCCTCTAATCACGACACGTACTATAAAATTTACGATAAAGTACTACTTATATCAATATGACGAAAACTCCTTATATTACTTCAGAACATAAAACACTTTAAGTGAAATATGTACAACGTAATTTATGTTTGTGTTCCTTATTACCCACAGTGATCGATGAGTGCGTCAGCGGCGTTCACGACTGTCACAGTTCAGCTTCATGTACAAACACTGTAGGATCCTACATATGTTCGTGTAACCGTCCTTACATAGGTGACGGGAAAACCTGCACGTACTACCTAGCAGGTGAGTATTTCGCTTTGAAATACTCAGCAGCGGTTAGAGTGAAGCTGAAATTGCTCATCAAATATGATGTTAATAAAAACTTGGCCTGAGAATTCTTCTTCCATCTTGAATCAGGTTGCCATATAGGAGGGACTGTTACTGATGCAATCAAAAGAAACAAACCGACACTTTAACTTCGGCCACCATGATTAACATTAACGCAGAGAGGGGTGGAGTGGAAAGAGCTTACGCTGATTTTAGATAACCGTTTATAACTTTTTCAATATTTGAGAAAAAAAAATTTAACTTCACTTAAGGGCAATTCTTTATTTGAGAATTCTGAAGTCTGTATGGAGTAGTACTTTATTCATAAAAAATAGTATCCGATTTTTTTCTCGTTCGGGAATTAAAATAATTCATTAAGAGTACTGATCATTGCGACCCAAAATTTAGGACGCGATTTTCCAGATAAGAGTATTTAGTGTTGCTCGGATGGCATTAAATACATGTATCTCGCTTGCTGTTTCATGCAGGACAAACGATACAACTTTAGGGTGCGTATGATATTGAAGACCCAAGTAAAGATGATCACTTTATTGCTGGAAAAAGATGAGTGTTAACTCTTAGCAAAAAATTCAGACAAACTAATAAAACATATGACAAACTGGATCCAAGAAACGTTCTTATACTTTATTTTTGCAGCGGGTCTTGGATATTCCAGCATTGTGGGAAGCAGCAAGACATTTTTGACATGGCTGGATAAATGGTTAAAGCCTGTGACTCGCCAATCTTCTTACTGGAATCGCTGTTACCAGGCAACTGTAAATGGCTGGTCATCCTCTACCTTCCATTCGAACTGTGACGGCAAAGGTCCAACTATCACAATCATCCGTGTTGGGAAATATATTTTTGGAGGATACACAAGTGTCTCGTGGAGTAAGTGACATGACCAATTTCATCTTTTACAGGCAACCCAAACGCAAGCTGTGAGTCAGCCATAATCATATTTCGCAATAGCGGTCACTGAGAAATATGGGAAAAGAGTTTCAAAAAGAATTTTAAAAAGGCATATTTGCAATATGATGTGGGACAGTTAAGTGCTAGAAAATTCTTAACAAAATGCCTTTTCTTACTTCCATGGAGTATTAAAATTTTACTTACTGTGTTGACGCGCCTCTTTTCTGCTTCGTGACGGTTTTAGGGAGATATCGGGAGGGAAAAACTTTATAGGAAGCGGTACAACGGCTTCGCCTCATCAAGCAAGGAAACAAAAAAGGGTAATACCAAAGAAAGGCAAATAAGTCAATGATATTAAGAATTTCTGGATAACTCATCGAGATAAACAGGCCGATAGAAACACTTGCATTTTTATATGGCATGGTGTTCCT